TTATTTTGTTTGTGATTATCGATAAAAATATTGGAAATAATCGAAATAGAAAGAGAAAAAAGGCAAGAAATTCACCGTCAAAGAAGGCCACGAAATTCAAGATGGCGGCGAACCATGTTGATCAAAACCCTAGGCCATCTAAGATGAAAATAGGCGATGTAAGTGTAAAGTTTGGCTACAATTCTGGTCATACTGACTATGTTAAAGCAGGTACTATATTTATGGACTTGTTAGTTCTGTTTGGCGTTTTTAATCAAGTCCTGAAATCATTGCCTTGAGTGTGGGAACAACATGACTTCCCATGTTGACTTGAAAAAGAAGAATAGCTTCTCCCATGACATTGTCATGCAATGTTATAACATGGAGTGTGAATGAAAATACTGCTTCCATACTTCACAAAAACAAGGGGCCATCATATGAAGTTAATATGGGAGCAGTCCTTGGCCTCCTGGCATTCAGAGAAATTGGTCGAGGCCATAATACTATGGTAACATTCACCAAAGTATGCCAAAGTCATGAACATGCCATCACGGGATCACCATAATCCAGCTGGAACTTTACAAAAATGCTAAACAAGCTGCTGCCTGTTGTGAAACAGTTGGCAAATGACAGCATGCTAAACAATGTCATGATTGTTAAAGAGACTTGTGGAAATGACAAAGGCGAATGTGGAATTTCCCTTGATGGAACTTGGCTTTGACAAGACCATATGTCGCACAATGGTGTTATTTCCGCCATCATTAGATACCAAGAAATGCCTTAATGAACATGAAATACTGTCAGATAAATGTCAGAAATGGCAAAAGAAAGAAAACAACCCAAAATACCAAGAGTGGAAAGCTAGTTGCCACTGTAAGATCAACCGGCCATGCTGGACATGCCAATAGTATATGATGAATCACAAATTACATTCTCACCAAAAGAAAGCAGAGAAACAATTAAAGGTAGATGAAAAACAATAGGGCATCTGAGAAAAAAGTATATAGATGAGGCTGAAGAGAAAGTAGGTGTTGTGTATGAAGTAGGCTTCTGAAGCTTTATAAGGTACATTAACTGTAAATGAAATTTTTAAAGTGGATTTTCTCTTTTTGGCAATTTGACATGTGTCAGCAATACCTTGAAACATGTAATTTTCTAGGTTTTTATTATAGAAGCTTGATACTTTGCACATCTATAGTCTATACCATTGTTCATCATGTGACACTCTTCAAATTGCAACATTGTTCATTATTGATGAATTATTAACAAATTACATCATAAATATTTCAATTAAAAGTACCAATAATGCAAAATTCCATTTTTGGCTCTAAAATTTTTTTATTAATGAATTCTGGGAAAAAATGAAGAGTGTCACATAATAGATGAGGTTCTAAGCTTTTAAAAAATATATCACTCATTAAATTTGGGTAATTGGTTAATGAGATATGAAGTTTTGCGACGCTAGGCAATTATGGCCTAATTAAGAGCCGCCATATTGGGTAATTAGTGTAATTAGTGACTTTGTTAATTTTTTTTTCATAGTTCATTTTACTTGACCTAACCCTTTCAGAAAATGATATTTTCACTTTATTATCTTTAAAAATATAAAAAAATGGTTTAAAGGGATGCAACCACCTTTCCAAAAAACCTTTGCATTTTCGTGCACAGAGTCCTTGATTTCAATCCTGTTTTGCCTTATTTCGAGTCCGGGTTTTCAAAAGTCAAGTCCGGGTTTTGTTAAACACGAGTCCGGATGTTCTTCCAGTCCGGGTCCGGGTTTTTCTCGAGTCCGGATTTTCTTCGAGTCCGGGTCCGAGTCCGCTCCGGGTTTCGAAGTATGCCATAAAAACGGGCCGGCTGTTCGACCTAAGGTCACCTCTTTTAATAAGTTTTTTTTGGTCTTCTATATTAACTATGATCATACGCGCCTGTATGTGCGTATGTCATATATCATCATAGGAAACGAGAGACCATGTTGACGAGCTAGTCCATGGTCTTCTATATTAACTATGGCTAGTCATATAGCATAATTTGTCTATTGAAATCTGATCTATCTTTGCTCACGGACATTCTGCGCAGAATGAAATTTGATATTCCTTATTGTGTAACTTGATAGTATTCATGACAAATAAAATATACAATCTTGTAAATATTTCCTTGCATGATTTCTGCGCTATTTCTTCGCTCGCTCCTTGCGCAATGTCAAAACGTATTCAGTTACCCACCGTAACTGTACGGTGGCTAGCCTACGGTGTAGACCCCAGCAGAAACACGTTTCGTGAGGGGTCTACGAATAAACGAAGAAAAGCTTGCCCGGCCTACGTCATAACCGTTTTACGTTTTGGGTAAATTAACTTCAATTTATTCAAATTTCTGAAGCGTGCGTGAATGTAAATTTTCATTTGGTGCTTATTAAAATGTTCCATGGCGGGCTTTGTGCAATAAAATATACCCTGACTATATATATACCCAACCATTAAACACATGTTCGAACGGACTAAAAAGTTCTTGTCATTCCTACAATGAAGGCTTGAAACTTGTCAAGATATCTAATTTCCGAAGTCGAAGACAAAGTCGATTTCACACTATTAAATGTATAGCCGGCATAAAAGCTTTATCGCAAGTCGGCTCGAATCCTAGTTGGTTCACGACATTTATCAATAGCGTTTAATGCTGTTTCGTGCACGTTGGTTATCGTATTGTCTAGGCTCTAGCTCACATATTAAATTAAACCGTTCTTTGAAGCTTCTCCGTTTCACCGTTTGTTTACCAACACCAGGCGGCCAGGCATGCTTTACAAATGCTATTTGTAGGTGAAATGGAGAAGGAAAGGTCGTCTAACTCCTTACGTACAGTGTCCTTGCTGTCCAAGAATTTTATTCGACAGAACTTTGAAGCAAAGAACACATTTGTATTGCACAAAGCCCGCCATGGAACATTTTAATGCCAACGCCAAATGAAAATTTACATTCACGCACGCTTCAGAAATTTGAATAAATTGAGTTAATTTACACAAAACGTAGAACGGATATGACGTAGGCCGGACAAGCTTTTCTTCGTTTATTCGTAGACCCCTCACGAAACGTGTTTCCGCTGGGGTCTACACCGTAGGCTATACGGTGGCCCGTTAGGGACACGCTTGTTCCGTAGAAAATCACATTCGTTCTGTGTACTTGAAGTAGTTTTCCTTAATAACAGAGCGTTTCTGTATAAATGTGCGGCGTTTCCGTAGAAAATTCAGACGACTTCCGCAGACGCTTTCCGTACAAATGTAGACTTCTTCCGTACAAATGTAGATGCCTTCCATAGAAATGTTATACATGCCTTCCATACAAATGTAGACGCCTTCCATAGAAATATTATGCATGCCTTCCATACAAATGTAGACGCCTTCCGTAGAAATGTTATGCATGCCTTCCATACAAATGTAGACGCCTTCCGTAAAAATTTTATGCATGCCTTCCATACAAATGTAGACGCCTTCCGTAGAAATCTAAAACTAATGCGCGCGCATAGTCCGGTAACTATGGTAACTTCAGTTGCTATAATATGCAAAATGGCGGCATGTAAACAGTGTACGCACGAATTTGCTCTTCCAAATTGCAATTTTTGTCCCAATGGCGGTGATCATAAAGCAACAAGTAAGATCGTACAAGCAATTGTAGTATATGACAAATGTTTGGTGTGATGTAAATGGACGCTTTGTTATTTTAATTTAGTCACGGAAATCAAAACTCCACATGGGATACTATATAAAATCTATACTATGGCGCTTGTGATGTTACTCTGAGTGTATATCCACACCGGGCAAGCTTGAAAAATATGCCTGACCACGGTGGAAAATGGAAACCGAACCTACGACCTTTGGAATACTAGCCCAATACTCTGCCAACTGAGCTACGAGACCCGGATTCTAGTTCCTTCGATATCAATGTAATCCGATAGCATGATTTTTCTTAGGGAGAGACCCACCGGCTGGATCGAGCCTAGATTTTTCTGTGTTGGTGTAATTGTACTCAGGTGAATATGTGATATAATACTCAAATAAATGATGCTTGTGATGTTACATATTTTCAAGCTTGCCCGGTGTGTGGATATACACTCAAAGTAATGTCTGTTATTGTTTTTTATACTTGTATCCTAAATGTTTTGGAATCCCGTTATTGGAGATCGAACTAATAATCTCTGTGTGGTAATTCCAGCCATGTAACCTATTTTGTAATTAATTTTATGTAATATAGTGTATGTTTTGTGTTCAATGGCAAAATCTGTAAAATAAAATAAATAAATAAAATAAAAAAATAACATCACAAGCATAGTATAGATTTATAGTATCCCATGTGGAGTTTTGATTTTCGTGACTAAAAACAACATAGCGTCCATTTACATCACACCAAACATTTGTCATATACTACAATTGCTTGTACGATCTTACTTGTTGCTTTATGACCGCCATTGGGACAAAAATTGCAATTTGGAAGAGCAAATTCGTGCATACACTGTTTACATGCCGCCATTTTGTATAATATAGCAACTGAAGTTACCATAGTTACCGGACTATGCGCGCGCATTAGTTTTAGATTTCTACGGAAGGCGTCTACATTTGTATGGAAGGCATGCATAAAATTTCTACGGAAGGCGTCTACATTTGTATGGAAGGCATGTATAACATTTCCATGGAAGGCATCCACATTTGTACGGAAGAAGTCTACATTTGTACGGGAAGCGTCTATATTTCTGCGGAAGTCGTCTGAATTTTCTACGGAAACGCCGCACATTTATACAGAAACGCTCTGTTATTAAGGAAAACTACTTCAAGTAGACAGAACGAATGTGATTTTCTACGGAACAAGCGTGTCCCTAACGGGCCACCGTATAACTGAAATTTACTGTTACCGTCCAGATTCTGGGAGACACGTGACCAGACAACACCACAGTATTGGTATTTTCTCAGCAGGTGGCCGTAGCACCGCATAACAATCTGTATTCTACATTGCCACAGGCACAGCATTTGTTGAGCAATGGCTTTTCGCGTTCCATCCTCGGTTGCATCCAGAGCAGGAATATTTCAAAATATCTACCGCCTTGTTTTCAATCCACTTAGCAGCATAACTCGCTCCATCTCCGTGGATTCGCGCTACTTTATTCAAGGCACTGCAGAAGACATCCAACTTTCGCGACCGGTACAGCTTGCGAGACGTAAATATCTCCCTGGCTCGTTCGCTTCTGGCTTCCCTGAGCAACTCTCTAGTCCCAAGGAAGGCTTTCCTCTCGTTTTGAAAGCAAGAAACAACGGCGAATTGGATGGAAAGGGAATTCAATTTTGGTCCGAATGTTTCAAAGAGCAGCTTTCAGGACTGTACGAAAATTTTCGAAATGGTGGCGCGCCGGTTGCTGTTCTTATTCGTGGCTTGCCTATTAAAACCAGCAATGATTCCTCTCGTTTCATAGAAGGATTGGGTTTCGAGTTCTTTTCGTACAAAGGAGGCAGCGGGATTCGTAAACAAGTCGATGACTTTGTATTAAGTGGAGCTCTCGATGCCCCTGAGTACTCGGTCGAGTTGCACAATGATATGTCGTATAGCACAGTTTTCCCAACCAAATTCGTTATAACGTGTTTAAAAAAGTCGAAATTTGGAGGTGAGACAGGTATATGTAATGGCCGAGAGCTGACTTCGAATCTAGACGCTGATCTAAAGGCGAAATTTGAACGGAAAGGCATCCGGTAGGTTTAGCATGGTTTTGTTAGTTTTGTTATTAATTAATTTAATTTTTCTGGTCATAAGGCTAGGTCAAGGTATTTCCGACTTCAAAGACAAAGTCGGACAACTTTGCTGCCGCTTATGTCGGCGTTCCATGCGCAAAATAACAAGGACAAAAAATACCACCATTCGATTCAGTGAAACAACATCTCCTAATTCCTAACAATAGTTTTAGTCAATGACTCAATATCAACATTGTAGCGTATGTACAGTACTGTATATTATCAAATTACTCAACTAGTCATACCTTTCGCCGAACATAACTTCGGCCCCTTCCGAAGTATCTTCTTCGTAATAGTCTTGTTCGAGTCGTTATCCAAAACACTATTTGCAGTGTTAATTTCGAGCTTATATCTTCAGATTTTCATCTTTTATTTCGGTATTTCTTCGGTGTTTGAGTCTGTAATGACGCCTGAAAACAATGCGATGCTTGTACCCCTGTAAACACGGGAAATCGATTCTAAAGGTCAAAGTACACCTTGTACGCGTGATCTAGAGATATTTAACCTGTATAGAGTTTCTATTATTAGTTTATTACCTACAGAAAATGAAGCCAACTTTAATTCCGGCCGCCATTTTCAAGTAACCACCATGGCAAGGACTACTAATCGAAGCAATTTGAATAAAATCTTTTCAATTTGCGAGGTTTTATTCAATAGAATTATCGAAGTTTAAACTTCGATAATTCCAGTATTCCACTTAAAAGTTTTTACTTAAAAGTTGGTAATATGTAGAGGAGTTGGTATATTGCTAATATTCACCGACTTTGTTTGATTTCGAGACTTTTTCGGCGAAATACTGTTCAGTCGTGAGTGGAATGTTGTCGGGCATGAGTGACCACGTTCGTGTGAAAATTTTGGAATGTGTCGTCGCATTGACATTGTCATTGTGTATCTAGGCATCGTAATCAACAAAATTACAAAAATAGGTACGCGACGCGTACATGTATCTGCGAAAAAAATTGATTCACATTTTGTATTTTCTTGAAAGAAACTGAATAATGAAGATGACATGGGACAATTGAAATATTTCATCACTTATTATAATAGCAGATAAGATTTAAAACAGGGCTGTACACAGCGGGGAGGTCGGCAGGGCAAGTGCTACCCCCCTCCTCCCCACCCCAGCACCGAGAAAATTTAACTAACTTTATAATGTGATTGTGATTGTAACAGATAATTATGGAGTCAGAAAATAAAAATTTCATGCAAACAATATTCAAAGTGTCTATACAGCCGGCTATTTAGTAAACTGTCACCTGTCAATCAAATCCATACTCATCAAATTTTCAAAACTTTATTGTAATCATATGAAGCAAAAGTTATGTCACTTGTTGTTTACACTTGCCAATGTTAACTGTTGAGTAACATACACAAAATATTTGGTGAACATGTCGAAGACCACTGAATAATTGAGAATGTTTTGAAGGTCATGAGTGAAGTATATAATTAAATTCCAGTTGTGTGCACAGTTAATGATATATCACACTGTTCGGTTTAACACGTACAGCACATTCACACAAAAACAATTGTGTTGTGGGAGATTATCGGTTTGAGTAGAAGGTATCACAAGTTTAGTTTTGTACATTGTGTGTCACTGATCAAATCCACCATATAATATATGATTACTCATTGTAGCTGTTAAGTTATTTTCCATACTAATGAATTTAGGTAAGATTGTCTTGCAAGTTGGTTGTTCTGACAAAATTATCCAGCCAATATCCAGTACATTTATTCTTCATTCTTGTATTAATCTCTAAAGAAAACTATTTATGTTAGAAAGCAAAATGACAATGTAATGAGGCTCGGGAGGGTGAGGATTCTTTTATTTGAAAATGTTGGTAAAAATTTTGTTTAATTAACTCTAATGTGTAAAACCAAAATGTATAAGTATTTTAACTGATAACATCTTCAACCATTGCTCTAACACTACATTTGATGACAGCTTTATAGTTGGACTGTTGTTTTGAACAGAGTTATGGAGTCAATATACAGAAATACAGGACCAGGATTTAATTCAATATCTCCTGAGAATATTTTCACTGTTTAAAATATTACAGAAGTCACAGAAGGATTGTTTTTAATACTGTATAAATCTTTTTGTGAACTATGTTGACAAATGGCTTAAAATATCCTCGAAAATATCCAATATTTTATACAGTGTAATATATTAATAAAAAAATTCCAGAGTGCATTCCATGTAAACTCTACGCCGAAGATACGGCAATATTAACTATAGATAGTATAGTAAATATTTGCCGAACTGGCCGGCGAACTCATGTATTATAAAATATGTGGGACATATATTTGCACAAATTTGGTATTTATATATATAATATGTGGTATTTGACTACTTACCAGATGAGCATAAGATTCCATGTTGATAAATAACTTCGGAATAAAAAAAAGACAGCCAATTGACCCAATTCAAGATAAATTGATAAAAATATCAAGATATTTTTGAAAGAATATAAACACGATTTATACACGAGGCCTGACGAGGCTAAGGTATGCCCGTTCGCAGGTTAGATGCGGGCACGATGTAAACAATGGATGTAAACGAATCGCTGATTGGCTTAAATTGTCTTAAATTATATAAGCTCGTCGCTGAATGGCTATCTGTTAACATACGGTAACATTACGGTACGGTACGGTACGTTTGCGATAGCAATATATCTGCTTCGCAGATACAAAAAGTGAGAGAGTTTCACATGTAGGAGCAATTGTGGGTGAATAAATCGGGCTTAAAAGGGGTTTTGTGGCGATTATAAGCCCCGTTTACACTAGTTTTATTTGACAAATTTTAGTTTGATCAAATGCATTTGATCAAAAGCTAGCATGCTAGCTTTTGTTCAAATGCATTTGTCACAAATTTAAATGTATTATCTACACGAGCAAAATATCTTTGACATATGAAATTTGTCAAATAAAATTTGCTCGTGTAAACGGGGCTTTAAAGTCGCAGAACTTAGGTGTTGTAGCTATATCCGAGACTAGGATCTGTCGCTAGTTGTTCACGTCTTTTGTCTAATTACGCAATAAAGAACAAGAAGTAAAACAGGACGGGGTAGCAAATCTTCGAGTTAAGCCTCTCGAGTTAAGCCCTTCGAGTTAATTAAGCCCTTTCGAGTTAAGTCCCGACCACGCCCAAACCACGCCCATGCCACACCTATTTCCGTTAAGGGTTCAATCTCGTTCCTAGAGCATGCCCGTTCGCAGGTTAAGGGTGGGCATATCTCTGGAGAAATCGAATTGTTCACGTTGGATTTCCAACGTATCAGTTATGCGTATGTTCAGCACTTGTTGCAAAATGTAAAGAAAGTATTTAGACTTTCTCGTCAAATTTGATACTTTTTACACTGAAATCGATATTGAAAACAACTAAAAATTCTGGGGGAAATATGTACGAAAGCTTCGGATTGATAGGGATACAGCTATACCTGAAAAATACAAAGATAACTTCGACGTTTCGAGCGAAGGCGTTTCGACTTGTACTGTTTAATTAATTTAATAATATTTAGTGTTTGTATACCTCGTACTTGACCTTTTATACTGTCGGTATTCATGATAAATATAATCTCCTGAAGAATGAGAGATTGTTTGCTGTGGACCTAACACTCTGTACTACCATAAATTCTGAGAGGAGAGTAAAATTTAAATTTTAAAGCACAAACTGCAAACATAGTATTTGAGAGCAACGTCAATTATCCAATGTCAAGGAAATTTAAACCTTTAATCCAGTTTTAAAGACATCAATCGCAGGTCTACACTTCACAGCAAACATTTTCTCATTCTTGAGGAGATTATATTTATCAGTAAAGGTCAAGTACAATGTGTACAAAGTACAAACACTAACACTATTTGAACAGTACAAATCGAAGCGCCTTCGCTCGAAACGTCGAAGTTCTTGTATTTTTCAGGTAGTTGTATATCTATCAATCCGAAGCTTTCGTACATATTCACCCCCAGAATTTTTAGTTGTTTCAATCGATTTCAGTGTAAAAAGTATCAAATTTTCGACGAGAAATTCTAAATTATAGTTTGCTTATATTTCGCAACAATTGCCGAACATGCATATAGAACTCACGTTGGAGGTCCAACGTACTATCAATTCGATTTCTCCAGAGCTATGCCCACCTTTAACCTGCGAACGGGCATGCTCGGGGAACGAGATTGTTAAGGGTTTAACTCGAAGTACATGCATAACTGGACTTAAACGGTATTGGCAACAAAAAATTTTATTGATTTTATTGCTTCATCTGAAGGAGCATGAAAAAATAAGCCGATTGGCCGTTTACTACTCTATTCTATCTCATCTGGACATCCGGTTCCGAAGTTATACGCAAAAATGTGCAAAATATAAATTGCTGATTCAGCACATTCTGTGACGTCATAAGCTGGGTAAGTATGTTTATTGAATAGTAAACTAAAGCATAGCTGAGTTATTATTGGCTCAAATCAAATGAAACTTTGCATACAGATAGTACATGATGAGATGCATGGAAAAATACTTCTAATTTCGTTGTCAAGGCAACACAGTCGTTCCCAGGCCTCTTACACTGATTTTGAATAACTAGTTGCATTTATCTATGTGTATGTTATTTTCAAATTATTATCAGGCAAGTAAACTTTTGGCATGCATAGGTATCATACACATACTTCTGATATTATTTTATTCTTATCAGTACCTTGAATAAAGCTGTTTCATAAAATTGGCGCAAGGGGCCTGGAAACGACATTGTTACCTTGGCAACAAAATTAAAAGTGTTTTTCCATGCGTCTCATTATGTACAATCAGTATGCAAAATTTCATTTGATTTGGGCCCATAATAACTGAGCTATGCTTCAGTGTAGTATTCAATAAACATACTTACCCAGCTAATGACGTCACGCGTTGTGCTGAATCAGCAATTTATATTTTCACATTTTTGCGTATAACTTCGGAACTAGATGAGATAGAATAGAGCA